CAATAAGTACAGAAGGTTGGCTAAGTCATGCTATTCCTCAGCCTAAGGGGACAGTCTACTTCTCCCACACCCTCATCATCATTAGCAAGCCCAGATAAAAACACACCTCAATTAGTCCACCTCTGCTGGGGGAGCCACATCAAGTAAAGCAGACGCTTCCAACTGACCCATGCCATAACTTCACTTACAGCAGCTCACGCTATGTCCAGACTGAGGGCCAGAGATTACGTTATTGAACAATCACACATTGCTTAAAGGTGTCAGCATTCGAAGGCAGCCTTTAATTAAATTAAATCCCTAAATTGTCAGTCTGTGTCATAAAAAAAATATACAAAACACCCTCAGGACAGTATATACAACGCACAATCAGCATGTTATACTGTAGATATGCAGTCAGCAAGCCTCTAAAGGACTCTTTAGAGCAAACCTCTAACCTCTTGCTACTAGAGTTTTACTTTCACATGGCTTTAAATACATAATATGCACACCGAAGTTACATTAGAAAATAGATACATTAATGAATATTTGCCATAACATCTACGGTACATTATATCAGGGCTGCAACTGACAGTTATTTTCATTATTGATTAACCGAAAGATTATTTTTTCAATTAATTAACAAACAGTGAAATAACTTCCCAGAGCTCTAGGTGACCTCTGCCTTGAAATGCCTTGTTTTGTCTGAACAAAAGTCCAAAACCTAAAAGTTTATTATCATATATGACAAAGAAGAGCAGCAAATCTTTCAATTTGAGAAGCTGGAAGGTAGCATTTTCGTACAAGTTTTGTTTAATAAACGATGACGAAATGATTAATCACTTATCAAAAGTTGCAGATTATTTTTCTGCTTTACATTATATAGTTTAATTGGGATTTCTCGTCTACATCTCCTGAGCAGCAACCAGCGTGTTAATTCAGAACTCCCTCCTTTGCTTTAATCTAAGTACTAGTGGTCTATACCACCTATAAACCTCTCACACGCAGCAATCCACTCACGATTAATGAAGTGCTTACTTAACCAATTTAAACCCTTAATTCCTATTAATTCAACATAATAGCCACCCTCTCTGCCAGAATTAACAACACCCTAGCAGAAACTTACAAGTCTCTGCAGACTAGAAAGAGTCAAGCCAGCAAATTCCATATTCTTTGATAAATATGTAACAGTATGTATATCACTGTTAAAATGCATAACCCTCGTGTAAGACCCCTATCAAGTCTGCTTTACACCTGTATTACATTTCTCCCTCAATCAGCAGCTTTTCTGAGACACCGGCCTCCCACGAGGAGCAGAAACCATTACAAGGGACTGCAGCTCATTTGCAGAAAGATTGGAGATCATGCTGCATCAAAAAGTATGTGAAGCATTTCTGAGAACAAAATTGATTTATTCCATTTCTATGTTTGTATGCAGCATCAGTATCAGTGTATTTAATGTAAATCCCCAGTCTCGCATTGAGTCGCTGTGCGGGTTGCTGCTTATTGTGCAAGTAAGAAGCAGGGCAATCAAATAGCACAAGGGGCTAGTTCTGGTGCAAAATGAAGGTACATGCAGTATTTTGTATACTGATATTTTGCCTCGAACAGAATGATAAAACATATATGCAATGTAACAAATTATATCAATCAAACAAAACAATACATTATGCCCTTTTTCAGATCCACTGATGCCGCTTGTTTAAGCTACAAAGACATTAGGCTGTTCGTTGTGAAATAAAAAGGCATAAGCAAATAAATAAATATTTCTGAATATTTCAATTTTGACTTAGGAAAAACAGATCAAGCAGAGCCTGTGGCTAGAGGAGCCTGACTGCATGCTGGTGGGGGGTAAAAGACAGCCTGGGGGGTGTGGAGGGCGTCTGTTTTTTAATGAGCTGAAACTTTAAATACTGCATAATATATAATAAAAATGGATAGTTCATTTAACTCTCCCGATAAGTCGTGGAAAAACTATTAAAATCCATTACTCTCTTAATGTCAACAGTGTAAGCATTAAGTATGAATGAAGTGAACATGATACCACATCATCGACAAGAAAAACAAAACAATAATCAACTTCAACGAAAAGAAGAACAGGATTTAGGCATAAAGTTAAGTGCATAAGCTTAAGGGCATAAGCTAAACACAGTAAAAGCAATGACAATGCTATATCAAACTATATAAATTTGGATCCACTCAAAGAATAGAACAATTTATTATTAGTTTATTATAGATTAGAATATGAGGAACCTTAATCAAATTGTCCAGAATTTGTATTTACTGCTACTTTGTCCTAATGTCAGCTGGGAGTGGTCTTGAACCAGAAAAGCCAATAAGATGACTGACAGACATTTCAGCCACCCACTGACAGTAACTTTGGCAACACTGATTGGCACAGCAGGCATAGAGTTTTGATACTCCCCCTTCCCCCTACGCACACACACACACACACACACACACATATATACAACGTGTCATAAAGATAAAGAACGAAGGGGGGATGTAAAGAAAAGAATTATGGTGCTCCTTGTCATCCCTTGGGTGAAGAAATACACCATAATAGATTTTTAATGGCTTCAGTAGAATATACCCCCTCCAAAAGAAAAAGAAAACATAGCGATTCATGTGTCAACGACCAGAGGTCAGCAATTATTAACTACTGAAAAAAATAAATCTTTTAACATTAACAAAACAAACTTTTCGATATGTCTCACTCTGCTTAAGTATTGCTCTTTCAGAGCTGATCAAAGTGTGCATATGTCTGCAGCTGGAGATGAAAAGTAATGAGCTTTATGTTTCAGTTGTCACATTATAATTCAAAAAGTGCCATTTTACAGTGAACAGTGTGACAATGTTGGCTGACACCTCTGCATTAAGATGTAATTTCAGTGTGATCCTTAAAGTGATCTGAGTGATGGCTCTGGTACCCCCGCTGCTCGTGGAGCAAGCACAGAGACGGTGCTGGTGGCCGATCCAGAGGCTTAATAATGATAACCTCGCCAGTATTAGCTGCAGGGGTTGTTCACACAATAATTGTTTCTGCCAAGCCATATATCTATATGACAGAGAAAAAACTGGTGTGACTTTCCTGCTAAATAATTGATTTAAGAATCAGCTGCAGCAACTATTTCAAGGAGATGAACATGGTTTGTACTATTTTTTTAATATATTTTTTTTTGCACTAAAGAAACTGAGAACTTATTAGCTAATTAGAAGATAATTACAAGTCTCTGCAAGTTGATTAGCAATTTCACTGTTGAACATTAACAATTTACGCCAACACTACACTCAATTTCAGCACTTGTTTTGCTTTACTTACCTAAATTCTAAACAGTACAAGTATTTAAAGATTTCACCTTGACAAAACTTATTACCAGCTTCAGCATGCAATTAAACTTGCCAAACAGGCATTAATTCTTTGTTCATTACCACATTAGATGTGTGTTGGGTAATTTAGACACATCAATACAGGACAAGACTACCACGGCTATTAAAAGGCATCAATCGTGCACCAAATGCTGATATATTTTGTTAATTTACAGCAGCTTATTTGCCGATACCTTAGACCTGCACTGGCGGTGACAGAAGTTCCATGTGTAATGCTAAGCCTCTGCCCCAGCTGGACGGGGTGCCCTCCCCTGCAGTTTAGAGTGACTCAAAGGTGAAGCCCTGAAAATGAATACAATGTACTCACATGCTCCACAGTTTAGATTTCACTGACTCGCATCATCCTGTAATAGCCGCACACAAAGCTGCAGTCAGTTGCAACCCCATGAAATTGTGTCTGGCTGTACGGTGGTATCAATGCAGCTCATGGGTCAAAGGGTCAATGAGTAATTAAGACATGGTTGCCTGAGCATTCCCCATGCACACTTTCAGTCCTGATGAAAGGTTGGAAATTAAAGGAGGAGGATTTACGTGTATCCTGATACTATGGATCAGATTTCCATAAGTGTGTCTAAATGTTCCGTGTTCAAAGCAATTAGTATGATTAACAGATAGTGTGGTGTCATCGTGCTGTTTAGGAGGATTTTACACCTGAATTCTGCATCAGGTTTAGACATTTTGGCTACATTACTTAAAATAAAAACATATGTAACACAGTATACTTTGAAATGTGGTTGAGGGGTTGTGTATATTACTGTACATCCAGAGATGTTAAATATCTGTTTAGTAACGAGTGTGCTTGCTTCAGCAAAGCAAAACAAGGTATCCTTTCTTTTTTGGGGGGGGAAAGAAGTGATGCTGGTGCCAGAATAAGTGTTGGTGAGGCCTACAAATGATCATCGAAAGACCATGAGGAAGCAACATTCAACTTTTGGAAAATCAGGACACTCATGAAGAGGCTGTACATCATGAACAGCACATAGGCGGATACTGTTGCCTTCAAGTGCAAAGAAGGTCAAAAGGTGCATTGATTTACATGTACAACAAGAAATTACTCGTTCGCTTTCATTGTTGCTAAAAATGAAGAGGCCAAGGCCGGAAAATTGAGGTCGCTGATAAATGCTATTAGTAGGAGATGCTGAGGGGTGAAGAAATCAATATGGCAGTTTGTCAACCTGCCTCTCAGAGGGAGCAGACTCTGCAGCAGAGGTAAGTGTGCCCTGTCAGCAAAGCACATTATCAGAAATCAAAGGCCAGAAAAGGCCTCAAGGTAGGGATGTAAATGTATCTTTACAAAGGCCACACTTTGGTAATTAAAACCTATTTTATCAGACCTGTCTTGTCCCTGGTTTTTCTCTAACACTATTGACTATCTGTTGCATGGAGACTGATCACTAATTTACCTTTAAATAAATGAGCCAAGGTTATTTAAATTCCTGCATTTGTCACACAAAATGAAGCAAAAGACATGGCGGTATTAATAAATTATGCCACTCGGCATCACTTACATGAATTATTTATGATCTTTAAGGCTTGAAGGAAATGTTGTCCATCTTATTTACCCCCCACACCGTTTCAAGACCAACACAGGTGTTAATACCTTGTGGCATTAAAAAAACAACAAACATAAAAACTGTTATTACTGTGTCGTTTCATACACTTTAATATTTACTGCAAAAATAAACTTTTACAGTGACTATGAAGACACTGAAGACTGATACAATGTTCACAAACACCGCTTCGAAGACATCCAGGAAAAGGCGTAGTGTCAAATTGTCTATTCTTCGAGAAATCCTAAACTTTTCATTAATCTTTCATGGAAATGTAGCTTTCTGAATAAACACAGTCAGTATTGTATGTCAGTGTAATAACATGCATAACTGACTCCTCCACTGCAACTTTTAAATCTTGAATAATTAAACACCTAAAATGAACTTGTGCAGTCAGACAAAAGGGAGCACTAATGACACAAGATGGCACTTTGGTCGATAGGTCCACCAGAACAACACCTCGGGAACGGTTGTAAATACAGCAGCTTTTGGAAGAGTTTCTTGAAAACACAATCAAAAATGTCTTTAGTTTGTGGTTTAGTACTGCGCGCCTTCGTCTTCTTTATAGGCAAAATATACAGTGACGGGTCCCACACTCGTCTGCACTGTTTCTGCAGCTCCCACCACCATCCAGCAACCGATGCCATAGGCCAAACAAGGGATGCCTGCAATAAGAGGACACAGTGAATATGTGGAGTCCTTCAAAATAAAATACAATAATGATCATATAGGAAGAAGATGGAGCAGTGAATGTATTTACTGACCCAGATTAATAACTTTCAACATGGTGAAAAACTTGTCCTCAAAGTCCAGGTTCTGTGGAGGCGCTTTGCTGCAGTGATATTTTATGAAGGGGAAGCAGCCTGTTCTCAGTATCTGGTAGTTTGCTCCCTGCACCCTCCAGTTAAAGTTGGACAGTCCAAACTGGTCGTTGTGGACGGAGCTGTAGCGGACACAGTATGAGGTCCACGGAGGTAGTTGACGCTGCAGCAGGTGGCAGGTCAACACTTCGGAGGCAGCTGGCCGCGGGCCTGTGCTGCCAAATGTTCTCGGAAACAGGACGACCTTTAGGAAGATGCTGTGTATCTTCCGCAAAACCTCCTTCATGACTTATGCTTTAAAATAAATAACAAAATAAAACTTCACCTCTGCTGCTGTTCGTATTTTATCATCTGGACTGCATGCAAATTACTTATTGACTTATTCTACTTATTCTCAGATAGTGCTCTTTTATTGCACAGGTAAGATAAACCTTAAATAGACATTTGAAATCAGCTCATGTGCAACAGTAAAACATGCTGCAAGTCCTTTAACGCAGTGCAGGAAGCAGGACGATGCCGCTGCACACAAGAAGATTTATATTTATTATTATTATTATTATTCTGCTTCAAATAGTCCTCTACACGTCCGGACACATGCTGAACACATACATTTGTCTTAACCTGAGAAAAATGCAGCACTGTGAATGCTTACGTGCCGGAGTGTTTTTGGTCTGACCTGGTACTCCTGCTAAAGTCCTCCGGTCGGAAACACAGCGCTGCGCAGTTGTTCCTCCTCAACAGAATTAGCGACTACAAACCATTATAGACAGTATATATACAAACTGATACCTTGGTTTTAATTTATATGTGCTTACCTGTTAGTAGTGTATGTTATATATATGAGTCCTGTGTGAAGTGAACTTTGCACTATACTCACACTAGACCACACTATAAAACAACAAAGGTTAAATTGAAATCTTTTATCATTTATCATTTTAAGAAATACTCACAAGTCACTTCAGTGTGTGTGAATGTAATGAATGTAAATATTACTCTGTTCCACACAGAGATTTCCATCTGCGGTTTATATTTGCCTTATTCATCAAGACATGTATGATACCATAACAACTGCTACAAATAACCCCATTTAGACCTTTACCACCACTGATGTCAGTGGTAAAAAGTGTTTTTATTGAGCTCCTGACCACATGAACACCACCAGCATCCTCCTTCAAGTGCAGACTATGTGCTCTCAAAGACACTGCAGCATCTGTTCAAATATTTTCAATCAACAGTTCATTGGTCTGTTATAGATCAGCACCATGGACAGCAGTCCACAAACCACCACAACTGCCAGATTTAATACTGAATGTGGGCCCCTAAAAGCAAATGTTAAGTGTAAAAGTTATGTCAAGCTAGTTTGTACACATATATTAATATTATTTCATCATATACACTGTATATACATATTGTATGTAGAGCAATCTGGGTAGTTTGTGTGGGTGATTAGTACGAATTGACAGAATATGTAGATCATTTCGATTTTCGAAGCAGATTGTTTGTGAATGTAACATAGCATCTATAAATCTTTCCGAGACTTCTACAATCCGAGGACACTGTAAAGGTGACACATAACAGTAATTATTACCCAGAAAAAAACCCTTGAAGTTGAGGTGCAGAAGAAGTGAATTGAAAAACACCATGTTGTACTATATGTATATATTTATATATTTTTTTTAATACATTAGTGGCTAATTTACTATGTCAATCTGAAAACAATAGAAAATCACAATAATGAATAATTATAAATAGCCTAAAACACTGAAATAAGTTAGCATATCATTTTGTACATTTTCAACAACAAAATACAGAATTTCTGAAAACTTATTTGATAACTTCACTACTTCATGATAAAGAAATAAATATTGCCTTTGACAGTGGAATTGCAGCCAGCACTAGTCACTTTCTCATCCAGCAGCCAAAGTAATGTGTGGCCACAGGTTAGCAGAAGTTCTCTAAACAATAACACTACACAATACACTCATCCATGTTGTATACATCTGGGCACACAGTCAAATACTATGTAGTGCACACTGAGTAATGTAGTACATATACACCACATATTCATTTTATGTCACACTACAAGCACAAATAATATTCAGATTCCAACACAAAACAAAGCTGCTTTATATAATGTGAATACATGAATAATTCATAAATGAAGCCCTCTAATTCTCCAATGGAATTACTTTGTGCATATTTTACTGTATGTCTTTCATAGCTATAATTTTCCAATATTTAATTATATTCAAGCAGTTAAAGCAGATCAGTAAACCATTCAGTATAGCAGCTCATGACAGATTCTGACATTGTTTTTTCTAGAATTTATTTGGCTATCTATGTCTGATCAATATTGATTCATCTCCAGGGTTCATGTATTCACAGAGTAATTTGAGCTGGCAAAGATATTATGACTTAACTTGGCAAGAGTAAGGCAAGTTTGGCAGTGAAGCAGCTGTATAAGCAGCAGGTTTATTCCTCCACTGCATGCATCTTGTTCTGAACAGTCATCTGTAGTACACCCTCTGTCCTTGATCAGCTCCTCCAAAAAAGAAAAGATAAAAGAAGGGAAATTAAATTACTCCCCTTTCAGCAAAAGCATTCCACACAACTGGAGCTTCACTGAAAATGCAAGTTTCATTATATAGATGAGGAGAGATCGTTAAGTCATTAACATGTTACCTGAACATTTGTTTCTCCTTGCATTTTAGGGGGGTGATATTTCCTGATGAATGACTGACAGAGCAGAGCAAAGGTCACTGGAGCTCCCTGGAGATCCTCTGAGACTGGCCTATTGACGACAGCCCAAACAAACGAGTTTACTAATGTTCCCCATGTTGCCAGCTAAGAAACAATCACCTTGTTCATCTGACGGTGGCGGTTAAATGAAAGCACAGCTTGATTTAACTGTTACAGCACTGTGTAAGCTAAAGGATTTGAGTGATAAATATGTTAAATAACCCTCTGCTTAAGTTTGTAGCAACATTTACAAAGCCAGAGGTGGCATCTTAATCCTCTAAAAGAATTGCCTTTCTCTTAGTCTGCAAAAAACTTTCTTCCACCTAATCCTCTACATTTTTTTCATGTGCTTGTCTATTTGAACAAAGAAGTAAAGTAAACCTAAATGTATTCTTTCTCTGGGCAACAGACCCTAAATTTCATTAATAGACGCAATAAGACAACAACATTGTAAAAATCTGAAACAGTGCTTTGCTTCCTCTGTGATTTCAACAGTCAGAAGAAGAGCTCCATTATCACATAGTGTAGATTAAAATCCATTAATTCAGCTTTGCACAACATTATCAGACTCTTGATGTACAGTCAAAAAATATATATCAAAATCTATGCACTTGTTAAAACATGGTGCTAATATTACAATGCAACCTGACTGTTCAGTCGGTCTATGTGACTGTGGAACAAGACGGGTCTGTGAGCATCACTGGCTGGCTAGCTAGTTAGCCACCCCCACTAGGACTTGTGAAGATTCTCAACTTCAAAAATGTTGATTTCTCGCTTTAAATGTTCTCAGAATTGAATTTAGTGTTGAAATAACACACAGAAACACACCTTTCCTCTGCTCACTTGTAAGCTGGCAAGTTCATACAAGTTAACAACCGATGCATCCTCGGTAAAATGGGCATGTTGAGAACTTCCAGGAATTAAGAACAGACAAGAACGCAGACTGAGGAAGGCCCCCCTGTGTTATGCTAGAAGCGGCTAATATAGCCTCGAGCAGAGATGAGGAGCGTGCTATTGAGGTCTGGCATGTAAGCTCAACTCTTTCTAACTACACACGCCCCAGATTTAAAAACATGTTCAAACATATAGTCCTCAGCCCAACTGACGCTGACTTGAGTGACATCACTTGAGGTAATTTACCAGATTTTGTCCAGCTCCCCCATCTTTCCCAAAGACCTGTAAGCAGACATTGATCTGTAAAATATGTGGAGTTCTGCTTTAAATCAATCCCAAATTTTTTACCTTCAGGTCAAATCCTACGCCATGAGTCTTGCACATCATCAAGAACACATTATAGTATAACACGGAAAGGTTAGAGTAAAACAAGTGGCTCCCAATGACTGCATAATAATGAACCTCAGGAGGTTGTAAAAAATAAAAGCAAGTAAGAGAAAGTGTATGATTGTTTGCATTAGTCTTTCTATTAACCTAAAACAAGACACAATCGTGTTATGCTCTAGTCTATCCGGGGCTAAAGCATAATAGGTGGTGGTGTGTGTAAAATGGGTAGAGATGGCTGAACCCCATACACATGTCCTTAGGGTCACTGTTGAATTTAGGGAGTGTGTGTGATTAGTAAACATGATGAGTGTGGGGCACATGTGGTAAACTGTTGGGCCTTTCTTAATTAACTGCGGGGAGGAACAATTAATGTTCAGAAGACATGCCAAATACAAGATGAGCTTAATTGTGGATGCCAATCAAAGAAACTACAGTTTTGGGACTGAGAATCTTTGCATTCAATTTGAGACAAAAGCACTACCGACTGCACAAAAGGACCACTCAACGCATAATACATATGGCCATAATAGAGGGGTACTGAGCATGTGACTGTCATAAGTAACACTAGAGAGGTTGATTACTTAAAAGTGGCAGGGCTCAAGAGGATAAAAATGTTCCTGGTTCTCAGGCGCCGTTGGGAGACAAAAAGAGCAGGCCTAAGCCCCTGTGAGCTCAGGAGATAGCCCATAACTCGCTGTGATGGCTGTGTGTTTGCAGTTGTCAAACCCAGGACCCTCACACAACAATAAAAGTGTCCAACAGGGATTTAATTGTGTCTATAATATGCAGGCCCCTAATGATGGCCACTGCTAAAACCATTACCCACTGCAGTGGCTCAACTGCTGTACTGAAGCACCAGGCCACCAACTAAATTAATGTTTGATAAAATAATACAAGTCGCGGATTAACAAGCGTAAACTCAGGCATACTGCTAATAAAAGAACTCTATTGTTTAAGGCCTGGCACCAGGTTGATGAGGTGTTCAAGCATGCATACACATGCATAATGAAAATGGTATGAATTATTAATGTGTTGATTATTTAGGCTCATCTATCAAAATGATAATGAATTCAGCACCTAAACACCAATTGAGCTCAGTGCGTAATTACAGTATTTAGTTGTATTTAACAAAAATGAAGAGCAAAACATTGATCTATCTGTGTGATTACTGTAGTGGTATAATAATATCATCTAAAGTCTCAGCTTGCATTAGAACTGGTGGTCTCTTTGTTGTTTTTTCCCTCAACAACAAAGAGAGAAAAACGTGGTAAAATATACAGCTACAAATACAGCATTAAAAATCAGCCTCCTCGTGTTTAAGAAAATTAACATTATAAAAACTGTTATTATGAGGAAATGTAAAAAGGTACTTTGGCTGCAATCTGGTGTTCACAGCATTTCTCTCCGATTGGCACGGGCACTTCTGAACAGCCTGCGTTCCTCCAGTCATCATCAGAAGCATCTGGGTCATGGCCAGCTGGTCACTGTATGTGAGGTCCAGATCAATAGCCCACACCTGCAAATAAGACATCATGAACTCTGTGTCACAGCAGAGAAAAACAGACACTATACACTTATTAATTCCAAATTAATCACAAAAATGGAACATCAAAGTATTTCACCCAGCAGTGCTTATAAAGAGAAGGGTCAGAACCTTTTAATCCTTACAATGTTATCCATGTTGAGAGGCAGGGGAAAGGAAAAACACGGTGAATGGTGTATGCTCGACAGATTTAGGTAATTCAGTTGTGGAATGGCACATGCACAAAGTAGATCCTTCCCTACAAATTTGAATTCAGTCTGCCCTGGGCTAGTTTGTTTGGCTCAGGTCTGATGAGAAGCTAAGTTCAGATATGTATGGTAAATGGCATCATTATAAGTATATTAAGGGGTCAGGTATGGTCATAGCCTTCTGCTTAAACAGGGCTAATTTTCCCAATAATAACCTAATAGCTATGCCCTCTCTTCAAAAGTGGCAAATAAATCACCAGTGAAGGAGTTGTTAATAACTAAGTGGCAGTCGACTGCCTCCTTTTGCTGTTCCTATTTGTCAAAGTAAACGCTCCTGCCAGTGAATGCAAATCGCTGCCTGTCTGAACCCCGCAGTCTCTGTAACCAGAGCACTTTATCTCCACTAACACATTTCGTATAGGCTATTTTATTTTTTATTCAATTCACATATATTTTATTGAATGTAGGCCATAGGCTAGGGCTGCAACTAACAGTTATTTTCATTAGAAATTAATTTCTTGACTAATCATTGTTTTTAACAAAATGTCAAAACTGCACATCAAACCCAAAGATAAAAGCTAAATATTCATCTAAAGTGATATAAGACTAAGAAAATCTGAGAAATCTTCACATTTGAGAAATCAGAAAAAGTTTGGCACTTATGTTTGAAAAATAATCAAAATGATTAATCAATTGTCAATTGTTGCCAATTAGTTTTTTGTCAGTCGAATAATTGATTAATAGCTCAATAGATCAAAACATACTGAACGAATTTTAAAGAGGCTGTCATATAAAACTTCAAAAGACCAGAAGAACCAGTTGAAGAAATACCCCAAATAATATAATAAAATATTATAGTGACAAAAATTATTTTCTTTAGAATAATTTTAGACAACATGTGATCTAATTTATAAACCAGGAGCAATGCTTTGGACTACACTGTTGCAGCTGGTAATCTGTAGCTTTTGAATGAATTGTGATAGCATAAGTAAATGGATACATTACAAACATTTTTTTTGTAATGATCATTTCAATGATAAAAATACAGGCAAGGTGCAATTTAACATTTTTTGACTAAGCTTTAAAAGTGTTATAAACAGCACACATCAGAACAATCTAAACAACTGCAACTTTGTACATTCATGTTTAGCAACACCATGCACTTCCACCTTCACCGTAGCTACCACTGATGCTAGTCTCTATGCATCAGGTTGGTACCTGGGCCTGAGTGATGGACACACTCCACCGCGCCATTCACTCGACTCACTAAAAATCATACTCCAATGTTTCATTGTCGTTCTTAACAAAGCCGTGGGAAATGTAAGCCTGGATTGTACCTGTTTTCTATTGCCTTGCATTTTCATTAAAAACCCTGATGCTGCAGCTGGGGCCCCACCGTTCCACAATGTGTGGAAAGACTGCAAGGGCAAACATATGTGACCCACTTCTTCCCATCAAATAAAGTAGGCAGCTTTTAGCAACAGGTTTGAATCTAAATTGATGTTTAAATCCAGACACGTTTGCCCTCTGTCTGAGCTCTGTGTGTGGGGAGATGGTTAAGAATCTGTCTTTAATGTTCCTGCCTCTATTGAAGCACATGCTGTTTATAGTCTGTTCTTAATTATGCTGTCAGTGAATCCCATTCAATTTTGGGTCAACATTGAAACTGCAAATTAATTTTAAAGCTGTCATTATATCATTCTAAACAGTTTTTTTTTAAAAGGGCAGTTTTCATTCCTATGATGAATTTGAGAAATAGCACATTTTTTTATTTCAGTTTTTATTTGAATATATTAAATCCTAAAATGTAAGAACTCTTTTTACCTTAAAATTAATATTTATAATATATAACAAATATATTCATAACATATATATTTAATATATATATAAAAATATATGTATGAATGTATATAGATTATATTGCTATTATATTGCATTGTCTGAACACTGCTTTGCTCACACTGTGTGGTTACATCTAATCCATAAGATACTACCCTCTAGTGGCAATCATGCCCTTAGCTAGTGTCTGCTCCAAATCCATATTTTACACTGAGAATCCATGATGAATGCAAACCTAAATAAAAGTGCAAAAACAAAGAAGAGAAAAAAACAAAAACAAATAAAAGAGACTTTTTTGTGGAAGATGTTTTGTGATCTGATGTATTTTTAATGAAAGAAACAGAAAAAATTCATACCTTTCTGTAAAACTGTAAAGTAGCTGTAGTGCTTTCTCCACAGTTTTAGTAGGTTTAGTATTTTATAGAGCGTATTATAAACAAAGCATTTCATTTTACAGCTCTGGATCAATAAACAGTCAATGTGGCCACATGTTAGGAGCAGAGGTTAAACCATCATAAACCAGTCCATTTCCAATATCATAAATCAAGACCGTTTCAACAAAACTTAATCCAGACAAATGAGACGAGGCTTCGATGGCGCCTCGCTATAATATCGAGACAAATTTCAACAGACCACTTCAGGTAACCAACTAGGGGTTAAACACTGACAGGGCATCCCTGTGAAGCTGCCAAATCACTTTAGAGTGACCTATTGTCTGAAAGATAGGACCTTCTGAATTTCTCGGCATCGAAAGGTTAAAGGGCAAACCTTAAATGGTGGAATCAGTGTATCGACACAATAAGACCTGACAGTTTATTAGATGGCCTTGTGACACATTTGGTCCCTGCGCCCACTGTTTGCCTTGCCTGTTTTTCAAATCCCCAGGGAGCAGTAAGGGAGGCACCTATCTGCTCATATGGATCCCTGATCTAGCCTAAAAATTGATCTCCTTCACCAATATGGGTAATAGAGATCTTTGACACCACATGTTGCAACAGCCCAGACCATAATTATTGTGGTAGCATGAGCTAAGGCTTTCTCTTGCCCTGCCTGTGTCTCACCTTTTGCTACAGATCCACAGAGACATAACCCACTATAAGTTGCTGTAGACAGGCCTTGTTCATACACGTGCAGATGGAGTGCAAGGTCTCTGGGTGTACAAAGGTCTGAAGAACAGTGGAGCCTATAGCTTCCAGTTGACAGGAGCCGTGAAGCTGGTTTTCACAGGACAGCATGTTGACCTCACCCCTGGGCTCCAGCTGCAGATCTACTGTCAGACAGGTGACACTGTCTGACCGGGGGGTAGGACTCCACCACACCACCTGGACACACAGTGAGAGCAGAGAAATGGCTGCAGTACAGACAACAAAAAGTTACCAGTATCTGAAACTCTCCTAGCAGCTGTTTAATAACCATCAAGAGTAGCATGAAAATGATTAAATTTGTCAGTTCAGACAGACAACATCTGGGAACTAGGACGAACTGTTAGCATATTCCAAACGGCTGTATTTGCAGGTGAAAAGCATTCAGTGCCTGACAATAGGTATCTGACCTTGCCTGAGGAACGTCTTTAGGAAGCAGGCCCAGTTGGGATAGCAGGAGGTTTTAGCAGGCCGAGCGTAATGGGCAAGCCATTCTGGGATCTCATCTAAATATCTGAGCAGTACAGGCTCCTCCAGAAAGAATGTTAAGGTCCATACATTATCTACTGAAAATGAGTTTGTGACAGATCTGAGGACAGTATGTATGTTTGTTAACATACATACTGTTGAAGTCCTGGCTACTTTATTTTGTCCCATTATCAAAGCTTTCTAAGTGTCGACTACATTGTTGGAAATGCCCTTGTGTTATCCGGATGACTCCAGTGACTGCTTGTTATCCTTGAGACCTTTGGTGGCTGCTTCAATTTCTGTGCGAGTGTCTGACGGATACTGCGGGAGGGTCTATCTGTGAGTGACAGCCTATTATCAGAAGGCCTCAGGAGTCTAATGGCTTTAACTCACAGCCAGAGACAGCACCTGCCCTCAATAACAACTCTCTCTACTGGGCAGCTGATGAATGCCTAAGCTAACCCCATCTATCTGGGGATCAATCAGGGCTTGACTGGGATCGATATCACTCTTGTTTCTGTAACTAGGAAATGCCATAATGGTTTCACCACTTAATTATGCTGTTAATTTCTAACTTTTGTTTTAGGTGTCTCTTAAACAGTTTGGCAAATTGTGTACACTGTTTCCTGACAATGCTGTGATATAGTTAAAGTAAGAACTTTATTAAACCTTTAGCTCTCATGTTATACCATATAAATTGTATTATAAAACTACATTTTGCTTATGTTGACTGTATGAAGAATCCAAGTGCTGATATACAGGGTTTGTATGAAATAAGGTATGTGTATGACCATTACACAGGAATTTAATTTGATCATACAAAACAAAATATATGTGTATGTCTGAAAGATGACTAAATTCTGAATGGAAATAATTTCTTTGTTCCTTCATCGTTCTATCCAGAGCGTTACTTTGTTTTGAGTGTATGCTGTTTGGCTTCACTGGAGACAGGACTGGAGATTATGCTGTTGATATTCCAGTCATGTAACAGCCATCATCATATTCAAGTACTGTAAGAGGCGAGGTCAAATGCTACACAGTGATTCCCCCTATACAAACCATAAAGCACACAATGGTGCGGCAAAAAGTGTAAGGGAACGGTTGTCATTTTCAACGGAAGAGCAAGCTCACCCCAGGACTTTGCCTATGCAGTTCACAGAAACAGCAGGACAGGAGGAAAAGAAAGAGAGGTATTTTGCAATAAATTATTTGGACTTAAACTGCGTACAGTACCCTGTGATAGGATTCAAGCTTTGCTTGGTGTCCACATAAAGCCAAGCAATCTGGTCATAAATAAAATAGATGTTGCCCTGCCTCTTTGATTGCTATTTCATCTCTCCATTACATAGTGAAACAACTGAGAAGCTACAGCGAGTCTCGGAAATAGACGGATATAATCTGAGTAGTCACACATTTTATATGAATATTCATTTTCTGTAGTACCATCCCAATAAAGCTTCAAACCCTAATCTACAGCCCATGACTAATTTAATGTGTAATATTAAATTAAACATTTTGTTACTCTCTTATTCTCACATTATTTTCATCCCTGCTTAAATTTAACATCAGTGCAAGCACAGCAAAAGTTCCTCTGGTTAAAGATTTCACAAAAGCACTCCTAACATTCATTGAAATCAAGGAAAACACAAAACAAGCATCCATCAAACATGAGCCACAGAAATGTTCTAATGTCTTATTAAGGTAATTCAGGTTAATTATGTTAAGGCAGAACATTATATATTTAAAGTCCTCCATGTAATCACAGACTGCACAATATTTAGACAGAAAACATCTGTATAAAATGTCCCTGTACCTCTTCAGTGGTAGTGATTATCAAATGACCCATTTCGTTGACAAACTTAACCTAAATAAGGTGTAGCTCAAGATCTGTTTGTACACAGTGTGACAAAAAGAAATACTCCATCTGTTGACGCTATTAGGTGTAATTTTTACCCTCTTGTGCCTAATGATCCATATGCAAGCTGTGTGAGCGCTTAAGTGTGTGTGTGTGTGTGTGTGTGTGTGTGTGTGTGGCCCCCTTCAGGCATTGCATGGGTGCAGATCTACATGTCTTTAACCTCTCTCTGTGTAAATGCTAAAAGATGCCTGGGGGCTTTCTGCAGGCTGAAACATTGTGCTGGAGGCTGTGGGCCTCACAATATTCAGACCTCTGTGGAAGCTCCTTTAGTTTGGATGTGATTCCTCCTCCTTCACGTTGTATCTTTTTAGGCTTTCTTTTGCATAGCCAGAAGGGATCTAAATGTTGGTATTATTCTGAGAGACCACATGGCATTGTTGTGAGTCCAGCCTCTTCATGCTGAGCCCATCAGAACAAGCAATAATTAAAAAAAATGTGCACACACTCTGTGTAGACTATCGCTAGGAATACTCTGTAATCCTCCTCTACTTTTACTGTGATTATAAAGGATATGACACATTCCACTGAATTGTAAAACCTATTTGCATAATGTACACTTCAATCATCACTTATTTGTTTTTGTTTTTGGTAAACAATAATCTTAGTGGAGAACTGTTAAATTCTGAATTAATATTTAAAATGCTTAATTTCATAATTTGTGTTTAATTATTAATGAATTAAATTGCTACTCTTTTCATAAACATAGCTTTAAACATATATTGCCTAACTGCTTGCAAATATTCAGCGTTGTGAGTCTATATCCTATTCACTAGCTGTCATTGCTATTGCAATTAGGCCTACTTCTTTTCAGCAAAGTGCCACGTTAATGAGTGTTATATCTCAAAATATTCTGCCATGTTTTAACACCCATCTACAGTTTCTGCTGTGAGGAGAGGGAAGCGAGGAGATACACTGATATAAAATATTCATATGTTTCTATCTAATCAACAACAATGTTTTGTAATCTTTCAGCATATAGAGCCAAATTGCTATCTTCAATATACTCAAGTACAACAGCAGAAGGACGATGTAATACATTTAGGGGGCTAATACATTTTAGGAGAAAACAATGTCAAAACAAAAAAATCATGCAATGAGGAGCACAGGATGTGGGCTTTGCTTTGATTAAAAGAGCAAGGTGTAGAATAAAGGCCAGTTAAAGTGTTGTGTCCATATGGCCCAGAAGCCCCGAGGCTGTCGGCCTACACTGGGGGCCTCGGCACTCTTCCCTCTCCATGGGACCCCAGCTGGTGAAACAAACCCCATTTACTTTCCTGTGCTGCCTCAGCCACCATTATGGACCTTGGCTGTGGCTCAGCCATTCTCTGCCATAATTAACAGCCCCAATGCCACAACAATTACAGCCCCGCACCACACATACACTATGAATCAAAGAACGAGCTAATAGGAACAAAACAGAGTGAGCCACAAGAAGCTTGAGATGACTGCTGTTCTTTCAAATGGAATAAAAAATAAAATCATTGTGCTCCAAGCCCACAATCATTAGCCAGTAATTAGTTTACACAAAGCTTCCAGTTAAATGGCAAAATACGGTAATTAACACATGACAGAAAATCAAAGGCTACTTTGTAAACATATGAGAAATAAGAGCCAGGGGCTCAGATGCTGTGTACAGAATGCATCTGTACTAAATGAATGGTTTACCAATGATTAAATACATTTTATTTGTTTTTGAATAGGTCTGAGATTAAATCTGAATTTATTTTTTGAGGAAATAGAGGAAAGGATATTTATAGAAAAATACAAGGTTACACTTTCAACCCTACACACATCATTTATACTAAAATGTTCTCATTACAAATGGCCCGGACCCATCCACTGAGTGTTATAGACAGACAGAGACAGAAAGCTTAGTGTTGTAATGCCAGAGCAGCAGATCAAAGCATCTACCATCAGCTTCAGGATTAAAGTGTTTCGTGTCATTTGTAATTCAAATGAAATCGGGTATGAATCTGTGTGACAATCTAATCTGTAATCTGCACAATAGTTTTACAAAATTGGTACACATGTACAGACAGAGAAATGCTCTTTTCACCAGAATTTCTGTAATGTGATTTAATTGTCACTGCCAGGTGAGCTAGGGCATTACTACCATTAGACAGGCTTTTGTTCTTCCCAACACACCGACACTAGCTGATGTGTGTGCCTCAGAGAATGGATAATGGCTGTGTGTATAAACAGATTTTATGTATTGATTTAATGTTGTGTGGCTCTGGGGATGATGCTCAAAATACTGTACTACAGGGACCAGCATTGTGACATTAAGACAGCCTACTCTGGGCTAAATGATGTGATCTCTGACCCCACTGTGACCTAAGCTTTTGTTCCATCAATGACAGAAGTGAAACTAACAATTTTTTTAACTCTCTCATCTCAACAAGGAGCACAATCCCCATTTTAATATCTAGCTGTTATTGTAATGATATCTGTTAAGCATCTAGTTGTTACCATGTTAACTTTAAATGGCCGATCCCTCATTGGTATGACTGTAATAATAATAGCAATAAACTTTATTTGTATTGCACTTTCCTAAAACCAGTGCTTTGGAGGGAGCCATAAAAACAAGACATAATAGTAAAAAACACCAATTTAGGGAGAAGTAATAAGGGAAATAAAAAAAATAAAAACACAAACCTAAAATTCAACAAATTCAATAAAACATAAAAGTAAGTGTATAAAATGTGCCTTAAGAAGTGGTCCAAGTATAGTTTATGACAGAGAGGGAATGAAGTAATCCTCAAAGACACATCACAAGACCATGTTACGTTACGTATCTCAGCATCATAACAATCGTATTCCTGCGTGGTTATAGCAGATAAGAGTGCATACATCACAGTATGCTGTAAAATGATCACTATGCATACACATCTTGAGTTAGTGCTGCACATCGATGTTTTGAATCATGAGCTCGGCCGTGTTTCATGAAGCTAAACCAAGAGAGAAACACATGAATTAAAAATTAAATAAAGTAATTAATAAAGTGTGTGTTTTTTTTTCAGGCACTGATAAATTACTTCATGCTTGTATGTTTTCATGTCTCTAATCAGAAGTGAACAGTGTATGACTGTGACTTGTTCGTATCCAATCAAGAGCTCTCCATCACTCTATAGGTGGAACTCTATTGCAAAGAAAACTGTATAGATACGAACAATATATTAT